CTAGCCTCGGCCTAGCCATGTCTAATGAATTAAATAAAAATAATTGTAAAAGAAAAACTTTAAAATGATTTTTTTTTGCGTTTGAATAACCTCGGTTTTGTCAAGGCTAGTTAGCCTCGGTGTCGGTGGCCGAGGCTAAATTCGCAGCTAAAATGAAGTTTTCTAGTAGTGGCTATCAAGTATCATGAGCTTGTGCCAGACCTTGTTGTGCAACAACTTAAGTTACCATCGTTTCTCTATTTCTCATCGATAGATTGTTTCTTATTTCTCCTTTGTTGTGTCGATTTTTTTTTCTTTTCTATAAGTGAGAGACATAGTTGTTGAATGTGTATTTATCGTCTCTAAGCATTTAATGAGAAGGAAGGGGAAAATTGTGTTCTTGATTTCATGTTTATGTTTGTAACTTTATGTATTTCTATTTCATGCTATTTGGCAGGATGAAGATTCAATGACGTAAAAAGTATTAGAGATTTGATAGTATAATTCAAACATGGTTTTAGTTATTTGAATTTCTTCATTTTTACAAAGTTTGGTCTCTGAGGAGTAGGTTTCATCATGTTTTGCAGATGACAAAATTTTTGTAATGTAATCGTGTATCCAAGTGATGAGAATCAAATTATTTTTTTATTTCTTCTTATTTTGATTGATGAAAAGAACAGTGAGAAAGAGAAGAAGAATGAGTGCAAATGAAAAAGAAAGTCTGAGTAACATATTTCATTTTATGTTTATTTCCTCTTAATCCATTGACACATGTCTTATTATCATTGGTTGATGGTTAATATTGAAAATTTAAATCAATATTTTACTTTTTCTTTTTTAATTGTTTTTTATATTTACATTATTATTATTATTATTATTATTATTATTATTATTATTATTATTATTATTATTTATTATTATTATTATTATTATTATTATTATTATTATTATTATTATTATTATTATTATTATTATTATTGGTTTAGCATAAGTTTTATAGTTGGGCCATTTGGATGTGAGATGGTAGACCAATTAATCATGACACCTCCTATCATTTGTAATAAATATATGTTGTTGTTATTTGATTTTCATTGCACTTAAATAGGTTTTTTAATTCGTGGATTCGACAATGTTATGTCATTGAAATTTTTGATACATTGATAGGATATTTTCGTCGTGTTATGATCCTTGTTTAAGATATTTCACTCATTTGTCATTACGCACAAACCGGTTTGAGCACATTATGGTTAACTCGCTTCAATCATTTTGCACTCGATCTTGTTGCTTATTTATTTTTAATTAATTTAACTAATCAATTAAAGTTTTGTTTAATTAGATTAGTTTCTTAATCAATTTTAATTAACATGATTATTTGATTACATTAACTTTTAATCAAACAATTTTAATAATTAATTTTGACTAGCTTAATTAAATGATTTAATCAAAGTTTATTCAATTGATTTTGTTAACTAAATATTGATCTACTTATTCCACTATCACAAATTTAAAATCATTTTAAAACCAAGCCCATTCAATCTCATTCCTATTCAAAATCATTTCAAAATCATTTTCATAACTCAATTCTTCCGCAACGCAAATAAGAATCTCGAACAACGTTGAGTGCACTTTTCCCAATTCCAAGTCAAAACACTTAATCATTCTCAAATACCATATCAAAGGGTGAAAAATGAGATGGTCTAGAGCGTTCGATTCCTCTCCTGAATTGCTTGGATACGACTTTCCTTACTCGACAATTCAAACAAGTGTCATCTGTTTAAAACTTAGAATCAGATTCACCTTAAAATCTTTTTCATAATAAATCAAATCAAACTCATTTTCATAATAACTTAGATGAAAAAGGAAGTGATATAGAGTCTAAAATTCCCTTTCTCGAATACTTGGATACGAGTTGCCTTGCTTGACCATTTGAGTATTAGTCATCCAATCAAAATACCTTAATAATATTCAAATCCTTTTGCAATTAATGATGAAAATGAAGATGGTCTAGTGCCTTTGATTCCTCTCCTCGATTGTTTGAATACAAGTTACCTTACTCAATCATTCGAACAATCGTCATCCAATAAAATACTCAGCTAATCAAATATATCTTCTCTCGCCCCCGTGCGAGCGAAATCATTTTCACAAAAGAACACTATTTAGTCCTTTCTAACGTGTACACAAACAAGCGCTTAAGCCTCCCATGCGCGAGCATACAACTTAATGTTTAAAATGCTAGAACGCGATCAAATAGGATCCATTGCCAACGTTTAACCGCGAGCAAACAAACTAACATTTAACCGTTAAAATGCCACTTAAACATTTGCTTACTAAAATCAACTAACTAAACATCATTTGCTACCATGAACTACGTAGTTTTGAATTCTCCATCACACCTAGAGATACGTGAGAGCACTATAAAATATCTTTTGAATTCTCCATTTGCACTACAAAAACCACTAAAAATATCTTTTGTCTTGTCTCGAAATACGAAGCTTTGAGTTCCCCATTGTACCTGAAGATACGTAGAAATAAGAATTACAATCTTGTAAAACACCCTAATAAAAACCTTTTTGCGACATATTCTCTTTTCCTTTTACATCTTTTGATTATCCGAAGATAATAAATAAATGATAGCTTATATTTAAATGGAAATCTAACTTCCTGTTGAATACAACAGATGTGAGGGGTGTTAATACATTTTTCCTGCGTAATCGACTTCAAACTCGAATTTGGTTACGACGACCATCTTCTTTTTATCTTAAAGATTTTATCGATACGCCCCATTTTTTTCTTTAGAATAAATAATGTTCGGTCACAACTCTATTCAATATCATTTTTCGCGACTTCGCGAAAGATCGTATTATTCGATATGCAATAAGAAGTTATCCTTTTAGGTTGGTAAAACCAACTATAATCCCTCTTCTTCAAATTAAATCTTATTAAAATATTTTGTGAGGATTAAATCTAAATCCAAGAAATGAATAAATAGAATTCACTATTTTCTTTAAAACATTAAAAAAAAAAACTCAATAGAATAAAATCTGATAAAAGAGAAAAGAATACCATACATGCAAAATAAAAAAAAAATTTATTGTAAAATCTGAAAAGACAATTAACATCTGTTCCTAATGAAACTTTGAATAGATTAACAATACTAAAGTATAGGATTAACATGCATGATCATTATATATTTAACTAATAGTATATAGTAAATTAAAGTATTATTGTTATAAATAGAAATAGTATTTTAATTAGGGTTGATAAGCCAAGTTTCTCCTTCAATAAAATGAATTTCAAGAAATGGTTGAACCTCTTCATCGGTTAGATTTCGTGCCCATGAAGCTCTTCCGGAAAAATTAGATCCAGGTCCGCTGCATTTGTACTCACCATAGTATATTGTCTTGCTGCATTTATATATAAAGTTAATGAATGCATTTAATAAAATAAATTGTATAAATCATGTTTCATGAGCTTGTGCCAGATCTTGTTGTACAACAACTTAAGTTACCATCATTTCTCCGTTTCTCTTTGATAGATTGTTCCTTATTTCTCCTTTGTTGTGTCGACTTTTTCTTTTCTGTAAGTGAGAGACATAGTTGTTGAATGTGTATTTATCGTCTCTAAGCATTTATTCTTCTGTTTGATTTTGCAAAATTTCCCCCTCCCCCCGATTGTGTTGTTATGCTTGGCTGTTTCATGAGAAGGAAGGGGAAAATTGTGTTCTTGATTTCATGTTTGGGTTTGTAACTTTATGTATTGCTATTTCATGTTATTTGGAAGGATGAAGATTCAATGACGTAAAAAATATTAGAGATTTGATAGTATAATTCAAACATGGTTTTTGTTATTTGAATTTCTCCATTTTTGGAAAGTTTGGTCTCTGAGGAGTAGGTTTCATCATGTTTTGCAGATGACATAATTTTTGAAATAAAATCGTGTATCCAAGTGATGAGAATCAAATTATTTTTTTATTTCTTCTTGTATTATTTTGATTAATGAAAAGAACAGTGCAAAAGAGATGAAGAAGGAGTGCAAATGAAAAAGAAAGTCTGAGTATGTTTATTTCCTCTTAATCCATTGACACATGTCTTATTATCACTGGTTGATGGTTAACGTTGAAAAGTTAAACCAATATTTTACTTTTTGTTTTTTAATTGTTTTTTATATTTACATTATTATTATTATTATTATTATTATTATTATTATTATTATTATTATTTAGGTTTAGCATAAGTTTTATAGTTAGGCCATTTGGATGTGAGATGGTAGACCCATTAATCATGACACCTCCTATAATTTGAAATAAATATATGTTGTTTTTATTTGATTTTCATTGCACTTAAATAGGTTTTTTAATTTGTGAATTCGACAATGTTATGTCATTGAAACTTTCGATACATTGATAAGATATTTTTTTTCGTGTTATGATCCTTGATTAAGACATTTCACTCATTTGTCATTACGCACAAACCGGTTTGAGCACATGGTTAACTCGTTTCGATCATTTTGCACTCGATCTTGTTGCTTATTTATTTTTAATTAATCTAATTAATCAATTAAGGTTTTGTTTAATTAGATTAGTTTGTTAATCAATTTTAATTAACATGATTATTTGATTACATTAATTTTTAATCAAACAATTTTAATAATTAATTTTCTTTAGCTTAATTGAATGATTTAATCAAAGTTTATTCAATTTATTTTGTTAAATAAATATGATCTCCTTATTCCACTATCACAAATTCAAAATCATTTAAAAATCAAGCCCATTCAATCTCATTCCTATTCAAAATCGTTTTCATAACTCAATAGAATAAAAGCTGATAAAAGAGAAAAGAATACCATACTTGCAAAATAAAAAAATTTATTGTAAAATCTGAAAAAACAATTAACATCAGTTTCTAATGAAGCTTTAAATAGATGAACAATACTAAAGTGTAGGATTAACATGCATGTTCATTATATATTTAACTAATAGTAAATAGTAAATTAAAGTTATTGTTATAAATAGAAATATTATTTTAATTAGGGTTGATAAGCCAAGTTTCTCCTTCAATAAAATGAATTTCAAGAAATGGTTGAACCTCTTCATCGGTTAGATTACGTGCCCATGGAGCTCTTCCGGAAAAATTAGATCCAGGTCCGCTACATTTATACTCACCATAGTATATTGTTTTGCTGAATTTATATATAAAGTTAGTCAATGCATTTAATAAAAAACTTGTATAAAGTAAAAAATTTGATCAAAGAATGTACTCACGGATAGTGTGTTCCATTCATAGTATCTTCCCATCCTTTAGGAAGAACAATCTCTTTCATATTGGTGTAAGAGTAAATGACTCTTGAATATTCTCCCCATGGTCTTCCTAGATAAACTTGTCCAGTACCTTTTACAGTACAATTTTTAAAAGAAAATCCAGTATCTAATGATGAACTTGATCGCTTTTGAGCAGTAATATATCCTATGTTCTTAGCAATTGAATTTAGAGTGCATTCCTGAAATGAATCAAAAATTAAATTTTGATCAATTAAAAAAAATAGCCCTGCAACAACTACAAGTAGCTTACAAAAAATCACGAGCACTTTTGAATCAATCATAATAATTACATTTGATTCTACTGCTAGAACTAATAGCTAACCACTAGAACTAATATCTAGAAGTATAAATAATTATGTAAACTATTATTCTACAACAAAAAGATTAATTTGATGAGAATATTTTATGCAACACATTTTTAGTAGTGGTAGAATAATATTCTAAAGACCTTATAAGAAATAGAATTAAAATTGAAAGAATACCTCATATAGGGACCTTCCAAAACCAAAGATGAAATCAATAGAGCCTTCTATGAAGCAATTTTTAAAAAAGTGAAGGCCTTTGTGATCATATAGAGTGTCTTGAACTCCACGGAATGTACAATTGTAAAAAGCAGATTTGTTACCAGAAATGCGAAGCGCAACAGCTTGTTCTACTTTCTTTCCAAAATATGAAGCAGAGTTCTATTTAACAGATAAATAAACTTAGTGAGCAATTATTTTTATCATAATTAATTTCTTAAACATTTGTAAAAACAATGATATATAATAAGAGCATAAATAATTTGTAGGATATTTTTGAATAAATACTAGGTTAGTTTATTATGTAAGTACCTCAAATGTAATGTTGATGGCCATAAAATAGTCAGCATTCACAGCAACAGTTGGAGTATTGAACGTCCCCAATGCATCTCCATCACGTCCAATGATAGAACTTGAATCATTCCAAGAAATAGTCTGTTCGTTCCTTGTCTCCCCCAAAAAAGTTATGAAAGGTAATGTTTGGGGGATCACAATTTTTTCCCTAAAATGAATTAATCATCAAAACAAATTACACAATTTAACTACGTAATAAATTATACCAAAAGATAAAATGTTAAAAGTTAATATATTGTTATTACCTATAAACTCCAGGTCCAATCAACAAAATAACTCTCCTATTGTTTGGTGGTTGAATGCTACTAAGAGCTGCTGTAATGGTTGTGAAATTAGAATTACCATCTTTACTAATAGTTATTTGAATTTTTTTACTCTCAGCTTCCCTCAACTTTAAATCAAGACTTTTTTGTTCAAAGACACTCACATATTTAGACTCAAGAATATTTGATTCAAAAGTGAAGCGAAAAGATGAAAGAAAAACTAAAATGAGAAGGAAATAAATGTTTGAAACCATGGTAATTATACTTTGTATCAATTTCTAAATAATAAAGACATACACATATTAGTATTTATATATAACACATATACATGCTTATATCAATTATCAAAATATCTCTCAAGTACAAGTAAATACAAAGAGAAATGAATATAACATGATACATTATATTAATGAATATAGTATAGTGAGGTAAATAAATTATGAAATGTGTCATTCACATAAATTTTATGAAATTTATCATAGTAATTTATTCATTTTCAAAACTGCTAAAAATAGTTATACGTTCAAACTTGTATATATTGTACGAATCCTAAGATTAAAAAAAAATGTAAATATTAAAGATAATCTGAACTTCCTTCAAACTTTTTTTTTTTAATTTTGTTTTTTAACTTAGCAATTATTTCTTTTCAATGTATAATTAACCTAACTTTTACACAAAATGATGAAAGATTTTGTACACAAAATCATTTGTGTCATCATTCTTTACATAACATCAATTATTTCTTTTAAGATATTTCTGTGTGATTCTTAGGGAAAATCAATTTCTTCTAATTTGTGTGTTTAAAGTCTTGCTATGAATTTCTCATACTTTTAACTTCAATCGAGTTTAAATCTTGATAACGACAATTCAGAAATTAAGACTAACTGTTCTTGGAGAACTTTTCGAGTCTTCAGGTTGTTAGCAAGAATGAGGGATTGTCAATGGCGGTGGCAAATTCCATTGAACAGAAACAGTTTCTTCTCTTTAGCATTGCATTAATAGTAACTGTGTGGAAGACTACAGATAAGGAGGAGTTCTTCTTGGATCTTCGGACAACTCTCATATTACGATACTTACACAGTAAAACATATCATGTAGGAAACTACTTTGCAACTGAATTCATCAAAACTGTATCGTGATCAATAACAATCACACGTGGCATGTTTTCTTGAGATTTTAACATAATCCAACACAGTTCCAAAACCCAGGAAAAATTATCCTCTTTTCACTCTACAAAAATTCAAACCCAACTGATAAAATACATCTCTATAGAAGTAACACAAACAATTTCAAAAAATGAAAGTTTGTAATTGTAGGTCTTAGATTATGAATCAATTATCAGCACAGTGGAAAATATGTTAAATATATTGATGGAATCAACATGAGTCCAACATATATCTGAAATATTTTTTCCTACCTCACGCACTATATACCTATATACGAAATGATTACCATCTAACATCTTCAAAAATTGTGACATTTTAGGTCTTGGATCTCTTATCGTCTTATTATTTTGGATGTGAATATTATGTACTTGCCTAATATTTGAGAACCTTTTGGATCTTTTCCTTTTCAAAGTTGTGAGTGTGTTTTTAGAATGAACCGTGTTCAATGTCATGTCAAAAGTAAGTTTCTTCTCTTCAAAATTCATACGACATACAATCAGATGAGCGACTAAGTTGTGACACAAAGCATGGTTCTGTATAACATAAATCACATTTAATATCCATGTATTATCATCGATATTTCCTTGATCTGGTGTCATTTTGATTCAACTTCCAAATAGGTTCTTTATAATTGCCAACTCTTTACATCTCATTGTAACAAATGTATGTCATTAATCAGAATCATAATCCGACTTCCTAATAACAATGTCAAACCCTAATTCAATAGCCTATATGGTGACCAATTGAAGGATAGTGTTCACGTATAGAATAATCCAGTTTATTGGTAAATAATTTTCTAACATCAAATTAGGCATCACCTGGTTTAACATCCTTAGATGCAATAACTTTGGTGATGACATCATGGTGCACCTTAACTACAACCAATTAAATAGAAGACAATTTAAATTCACCATAAAAAGTCCAGATTTCAATTTCTAGAACACTCGTAAAAGAATCTGTATTTCAATATCTGGACACAATTCATATTTCATATAAAAAACAACTAGATTTCCTCATTAATAATTAATGGATCACATGTACATTATATGTAATTCAAACTTCTTTTGTTTCTTTTGATTTCAAAATATAGTAGAAAGTTGTTTGCAAGTCAAAATATTGAATGAGAATGAAATGAAAATTTAGTAGTTTTTTCAATGTTGGTGTTATAATCATGAAGAAACTCATACATGCAACGTTATCCCAAGATTGAAATCTAAAATTTTTTTTGGGAAAAATGTGGGTGGCTCTCTGAAGAATTAATTTGTTGTATAAAAGGTGTGTCCGAATTCCAATCTCTGAAAGCTACGCAGGAAATTTCCGGATATCCATAGGGTGTGTGATCATTACATGGGTGTAGTGAACAACTCCGATATAAAATATTTTGTCGTCATCAAACTTGAATATATTGTACGAATCCTAAGATTAAAAAGAAAATGTAAATATTAAAGATAATCTAAACTTCCTTCAAACTTTTTTTTTAATTTTGTTTTTTAACTTAGCAAAATTGAATTATTTCTTTTCAATGTATAATTAACCTAACTTTTACACAAAATGATGAAAGATTTTGTACACCAAATCATTTGTGTCATCATTCTTTACATAACATCAATTACTTCTTTTAAGATATTTCAGTGTGATTCTTAAGGAAAATCAATTTCTTCTAATTTTTGTGTTTAAAGTCTTGCTATAAATTTTTCATACTTTTAACTTCAATTGAGTTTAAATCTTGATGACGAGAATTCAGAGATTGAGACTAACCGTTCTTGAAGATCTTTCTGAGTTTTCAGGTTGTTAGCAAGAATGAGGGATTGTCAATGGCGGTGACAAATTCCATTGAAAAGAAACAGTTTTTTCTCTTTAGCATTGCATTAATAGTAACTGTGTGGAAGACTACAGATAAGGAGGAGTTCTTTTTGGATCTTCAGACAATTTCATCGTTTAAGAAACTAGTAGGATCAAGGGGCTGTTAGCTACACACTAAGGCTTGGAGCAGAATTGGTGTTTTTGGAAGTTTCAAGTAATATATTTGAGTAAATATCACGTAGAAGAATTTGGCAAATTTGTTATATACAAGTCAAGATCCAAATTAAGAGATTTATTTTATCAGTTGTAGTGTGGATTGGTTATGGTATGAACTCTTGGAAATAATTTTCAAATAATTAGGAACTATGCAGGTTCAAATGGGAAACCATTAAAGAGTGCATGTAGGCTAAGCGAGGACGAACGCCGAAGCACTATAAGTCTCAGTGTCATTTCTCTAACTCTTACTCTTACATTTAAATTTATATTGGATGCATGCTAGATTTTTCAATTCCTTAATTTTATATCATTTTGTTCTTAATGGCAATTTATTGTTAGAACAACATACAAAAAACAGAGATTGAAGGTAGTAAAAATGGTGGAAAAGAAATTGGAGAAGAAGATGAAATTGAGAGAGAAAGGGAATTAGGGTAGAGAGTATTATTGGATGAATTGAAATTGGCATTATTATGGAATTGGAAATTACAAAATGTATTTATACACTTGAGAGAATAATCCAAAAACAAAAAAAAAAACCAACTAAAGTGGTCATGCTATTAAATTCACAGAATTTAACAACTTTCAACACACCACCTCACTTTAGTTGCTCCAAGTTCATCATGCTCAAGCTCTTCAACAGTCTCTTGAACACCTCATTTATCACACCCTTTGTCAACAAATCCGCAACTTGGTCCTCGCTTCGGCAATAGCTCAATCTAAGTTTTCCATCACTGATCAATTCTCTCAAGTAATGAAACCGCATCTCAATATGCTTCCTCCTTCCGTGTGCAATCGGATTCTTTGCAAGATTTATTGCAGAAACATTATCCACAAACAGTGTGGTAACATCATAATCACCATATCCCAATTCCTTCATAAGATTCACAAGCCACATAGCTTGGCATGCACTCAACGACGCCGCAATGTACTCGACCTCACAAGAAGAGAGTGCTACAATCGATTCCTTCTTCGAACACCATGAGATTGGTGTACTACTGAACATAAAGATGTAACCCGCTTTCAATTTTCGATCATCTTTATCTCCGCACCAATTAGAATCGGTGTAGCCAAGTAAAGTACATTTGCGGCCCATATCCGATGCGGGGAAAAGAATTCTGCAATCAAGAGTGTCTTTCACATATCTAAGGATTCTCTTGACCGCTTCCAAGTGAGACACCTTAGGTCTCTCCATGAATCTACTCGCAATACTGACACTAAAAGCCAAATTCATTCGAGTATTGCACAAATATGGTAACGATCCAATCAAACTCCGGTAAAGTTTTGGATCAACATCATCTTCATCATCACTTTTGGACAGCTGTACTCTAGCCTCACAAGGTGTAATACAAGCATTACAATGCTCCATCTCACACTTTTTCAAGATATATAGAGCATACCTCCTTTGATGCATAAGCAACCCCACTTTTGACTTGTGAAACTCTATGCCAAGAAAGTAACTCATGACCCCAGGGTCCGTCATCTCAAACTCACTCATGAGCTCCCCTTTGAACCTTGAAATACTCTTGTCATTGCTGCCCGTAATTAAGAGATCATCAACATACAAGCATAGTATAATAGCACCATCAATATTATCCGATCTCACATAAACACCATGTTCGGATAAACATCGTTTGAAACCGATGTCAATAAGAAAGTTGTCTATACGTTTGTTCCAAGCTCTTGGAGCTTATTTCAAACCATACAACGCCTTGTGTATCTTGTAATACCTCCTTCTCTTAATTTTTAATCACGAAACCGGGTGGCTACCCCACATAAACTTCCTCATCAAGAGGACCATTCAAAAACAGAGATTTTACATCCATTTGGTAAATCACCCAATTGTTGCTATGCGCAATCCCAACAACCAAACAAATAGTCTCCAATCTAGCCACCGGTGCGAATACCTTCTCGTAATCTATACCTTCATGTTGCAAGAACCCTTTCGCCACTAATCGAGCTTTGTGCTTGATTACTTCACCTTTAGGATTTGCTTTAACTTTATAGACCCATCGCACACCTATCGGTTTCTTTCTGAGTGGTAAATCGACCAACTCCCAAGTACCATTTTT